ATAGATGCAAGTTTAAGTAATAGGTCTTCAAAGTCTAAACTATTTCTCCTTTATTCTTAAAAACACAAATCAAACAATAACAAATTTTAATAGTTTGAAATAAATACAACACATACACAGATGAAATGGTGATGCATATGGACCTGAACATTTTACTACTATAAAATACAGTGATTTTTAATTAACACTGATTTAAATCTATCAAATGTCATTTTAGTATCACTGACATGCTATAGTTTTTATTCATATTTTAAATTAGTTCTTATTTTAATATTTTCCATTTTCAGTTTTTTATTTTAGTTTAAGGTTGTAGTAACTTTAGAAACTATGTCTATATAGTTTGTATTAATTTATTATTACAGTTTTAGTACATAAAGTTAAGCTAAATGGAAATGAGAAATGTTGCCTTGGCAACTAGCTAAAAGTAAGTCAGTATTTTATTTATATCATAATATCGTTATACCAATTTATTTACAGTAAATAAGCATTTTATTCCGGTTAACATTTATTTTATTTCAAACTATAGCTTTGGTTTGAATCCCAATGATCAGAATTATTATTAGATAGGGTTGATGGGCCAAACAAGAGACAATAACCCTAATACCTCACTAGGAGATGAGTTTGATCACTCGTGACTCGATTACTTAATTGGACTACAACAAACACATCTGATAATGTGACAGCAGGAGGGGTATGAGGGACCGTTTTAGCATATATTTTATATATATAATAAAGAGGTCAGTCTGCTTACAGCATCTAACCAGTAGGAGGTCAGAGACAGGCTGTAAACCACCTCAGCCTTAACCACACAATACAAGCTTCTGCCCACGATTTGACAAGCTAAGTTCTCGTGACACTGAAAAACCAACCTACACACACACACAGAATGATGACCGCAAACACACACTGACCACGCTATAGTGCCGCGAGACAGTCGTCTACATCGACTGGAGCTACTATATGACAAAGCTGACAGTGGAAATCAACATAGTAACATGTCACAGACACCGGAAATGCGAAACGTAACAAGGTACACTTCAAAAGCCCAATGCATTATTTGGGTCAACAGCAAGATATGGATCGGCCAGCCTGTCCTTAACCTCTAATTCAAATAGAAGATGTGTTCATGGACTGGTCGTTTATAACATCTGACCTAATGCTGTCACAAACCTGATGATAACTTAAAACGGGGGACAACAGCGATGTGATTAATGCAAATTAAGAGGCAGCTGCCACTGAATTCGATGGTCACGCAACGGATTAAACGTCAAATTTGCACTTACAAATTTCTTTTGAATGATATTTCTCTTCGGCCTTTCCCTACTCATTTTGCCCTCCAGATTGAATTCATTAAAGGTCACACGGCCACATCAATTCTGGTTATATATATATATAAAATCTTTCCGTTGTTGTAGCACGTGATTATTTAAATCCCTGGTAGCAAAATGTCGAGGTAGGCAGAGAATGTTGTATCCCGGTCGATCGGCGTAGCCTGTCTTCTTTTCACAGCTCAATAAACCAAAGAGGAGAAAGAATCCAAATCCGAAGAGCCATGGCGATTAGAAAGGGTCTGTGTAAAAAAAACAACGGCAACATATCCACCGAAATGAGCTGGAGTAACCAATCTTCCATTTGAAAGCTAAACGGCGTATTGTCACGGCTCCCTGCACCACATTCTTGCAGTCAAAATAAAAGCCAGCTTCTGGCTTCCATTCTCGTAGGTTGTAATGTATCGTTTATTGTTACATTATGCGGGTGCAAAACAGTCAAACACACCAATTTGAAAAATTTAGAGTTGGGTTTTGGCTGCCGCTGTGCTCCCTCATATTGTGTGAACTCAATGGCACCGATGTTACTGCGACCTAGTGGCGTCTTTCATAGGAGGCTCCCGTCCTATCATTCACCATCAGCACGTTTAGCGCTACATTTGAAAAGCCTGTCGCGAAACATTTCACGAATCTCTGCTTTTAATGTATTTCAACCATCTGAATTATAAATCTTATCACGAAGTATTTTTGACTGAGCTGCTAATATTAATTAGCCTTGATTCTAAGAAGGTGCAGAGGAACAAAGATGCATGAAAAGGACTAAAAAAGAAAAAGCTTTTTTTTTTTTAGCCCATAAGTACAATGCGTATACAAAATAAACACTTTTGGAGTCTTTTACATGTTATTAGAATTGTCATGAAGCTTAGGGGATTCACATTATCATGAATGGCATTAGAACATTGTCACCAGTTTGCAAACAATGAAAAATAAAACCACTTCCATGCATCTTGATCAAGAGTCTAAATGCAAATGTCAGATTGAAATTGACTTATAAGAAGACTCAGTTTGGTGTTACAAATTATTTCTAACTGATAGGATCAGTGTGAATAATGAACCTACAGAAACATATGATTCACATGCAAACCTATCTATCTATCGATCTATATATATCTCTCTCTCTCTCTCTCTCTCTCTCTCTCTCTCTCTCTCTCTCTCTCTCTCTCTCTATATATATATATATATATATATATATACATACATGTTATCCCCTATACGTTGCTTTAAATAAAATGATAACAGTTGCTAGTTTTGGAAACCCACGGCCCTAAATGCATTGTACTATGCCAATGTTGGTGAAATCAAGAAGTCTTTAAGGATTATAGCAAACCCCTCTCTGTGATAATCCAGGGATTATTTCTAAAAATAAACACCCTGATCAGCAATCCCAGTATATGGGGATAAAACTGATGGGGTATTTTTCCCCATTACAGTGTGAAATGTTCTGAGTGTCATTCATTTGAATTAGACAACAGGGTTGCTGCAAAAAAAAGTAATGCATCATATTCAGTTATTTAACAAGTTAATTTAAATTTACATTGATTCATTTAGATATTAGCAAAAGCAATTTACAAATGAGGACAATCACAAGCAATTTATAGAAGAGCCAACAATTTGCAACAGAAAATTGAGAAGAAAATAGAGAAAAGATATTATATATTAGAATTTAGAGAGAATATTAGAGAATTCAAATATGAATATCAAATATGGCTGGTTGATTGTGTCATCTCCATAATGCTTATAAAAATGTACAGGCTGCTCCTGAGTTCAATTTTCTGATGTATATTTCTGTTTCCATATCCTTTCCTTTGGTTCTAGAATTCTTAACTTTTTTTTTTGGCTGGAAAAAAATGCAAGATAGGATATTCCTGTGATTGTGCAGCTAAAGATCTGCTGAAGTTTGTTCTTTGTCTTTCTACCAGAAACATTATCATTCAGCCTGAGCCTGAGGGCAGATAGGCCTCTTTAATTGGAACAGCGTTAAAAATAACCTCAAGAAGTATCAGGGGCATATCACAGCACAAGTGCCCATTTCATTACGCCAGAGATTTTGGCTAGAGTTGTAAATGCCAAAGACAGGAAAAGCAAACTGAAAGAAGTTGGTAATGGTTTTGGGATACAAATAAATAAACCACTGTACAAAGAACCACTAGAGGAAAAAAAAAAGATTTTTTATTTTTCAAAATGTCATACATCCTGACTTTTAAGTAAGATAACTGTCACTGAATTTAGGATACTTTAGAATTCATAAGGATATGACTGAATGCTGTTTAAATTTTCTTGTCTATTGAGTTTAAAAAAGAGGAACATTGTAGTACTCTAAGATTTGTTAAATCACATGAGCCTGTTAAAATCTGCAAAACAAGAACTTGTCTGGTATTTTCTCCCATTTTGTTAAAAAAAAAAATAGGTGTTTAAGTAGACTATGAATGCTGTAATTCACCACTAATAATGGGCCACCCTGCTGGCAGGAGAATCAATTCATCACTTTAAAACATGCCTGTCCCTGGGGCAGAGTCAGAGATGTAGGCTAATTGTGAAGCACTAGACTTTGAAGAGAAGTGCTCAGCAGAACAGAAAAGATTTTTGGTTGATTGCCAAACCAAGCAAACTCTCAAGGAAGTAGTTTTCATACAAAGACAGGACACAATTCAGGTTGGTAGAGATTGATCTGCTTTAGATACACAGTATATGCATTGTTTACTTTAAGAGTTGGTCAGATGTTAAATGAATGTATTTATATAACAAGGTATTATGACTGTCTAGTTTCTTTGGATTATTTATCTACCATCATCAAATAACTTGTGTGTGTGGTGAATAATCACTCAGATATAGTTGTTGTGAACCTTTATTGTGGCATACCTTCAACTGTAGCAGATGGACTTGGGGTGTTCAGCATGAAGCCACCGGGCATCATTGTATTCGAGTAGCCAATGCTAAAATATTCCGAAAATTAACAAATTATGACTCACTTTGTTCGTTAAAACAATTCATCATAGCTCAGAAATACATTTAGTGTCCTTTATAGTGGAAATGAAAACATGTACTTGCTAGAGTTTCAGTATATTGAATTATTTGTTTGTTTATTTCTGATGCTGAATCGCTACACAATTTTCAAACAGATGGAGGCAAAGCTGGAGCTCTGCTGCAGCCATTAATAGCCATCCACTAACGGTTCTGGAATTAATGCAATGTCCCTCCGAACCGTCAAAGCCTCCAACATTTAATTTATGGCCTTAAAATTAAAATTTTTTTTTTTTTAGCAAATTCACTCTTCACATGATTGGTTCATCACCACAATTTAATTGTTATAGTGTTGTAAACTTGTGGCATTCTAAGAATTTGTGAATGTGAGGGAGTTTTTTTAAAATAAATATATGATAAGATTTTATCTTTTTAGTGGGCTTATTAATTAATCTACTATAAAACATAGGCTACAAAATGAACTACTGTAAGCTAAACCAAAATAATAATGTTGTCAAAGCAAAGCATACGAGTCCTTCATTATAAAGTGCTAGTGATCAAAGGAAATCATACAATTCATAAAAAAGTCAAATCTGGAAATAATTTCGGGTAGAAGTAAAAACACGAAGCACATGTCCATCAAACAACTACATGTACTCAATCATGTGACAGAAATGGGCAATTAATACAATTCATGAGCTTCTAACGCCCTCTTCTGGTTATTGCGTAACTAGCAACTATCAAACTCTCCGATGATGAAACGTGACAACAGACGATTTGTAAACAGTTTTAAGCAGGCTTCTGTTTTTTGACAGTCTTTCGATTTTTTTTGTTAAGCTGAACGGTTATATAATGATTTGCAGGAAGCCACCTTTGGTCTTAATCGGTGCTTGATTAACCATGTCTGGAAAATAAAATACAATGTTGCACATGACAAGCAGACTTATCCAGCGAACATTCAGACTACGATCGACTGTCACACAAGTGGTGAGAAAGAATGATCTTTCATATAAGAGGTTTAAATACAGTTTGCGTTAGCCTGTTGCTTTGTTTACATAGCTATTGCTAATTTATGCTAGCACGGGCTAACTTTCTCACAGGTTATGGAGAAACCATGCATATTAGCTACCACACTTGGAGCACCCGGAGGCGTCTACAAGTGCTTTGCACCTTGTATCGAGAAACACTTCTCTATAATCCCATATGAGAGGTTTGTACAGAGGAAAGAAGACTTCGCTGACAAAATCCAGGCAGTGTTTGTTTGGGGTGCCGGAGCTTTAAAAGTTGACCAAAACCTGCTACAGTCTTTGCCCAACCTCAAAGCTGTTGTTAATGGTGGGGTAGGAGTAGACCACCTTGATATTCCCCTGATTAATAGCTTTGGAGTCAAAGTTTCCAACACTCCTCATGTAGTGGATAATGCCACTGCAGATATTGGTGTGAGTTTGATGTTGGCATCTGCAAGGAAGATTGTTGAAGGTGAGAGATGCAGTTTCCTTTCTATATTACTTCCTGGTTTATCATATTGTTGTCTGAATCCGTTGTGAATTTCTTTTTCTCTGCAGGGCATATTTTTTCCAAGTTCCGAGAGTCTGATGATTTTCCAGAGTCCTCTCTGGGCACTGATGTTACCGGAGCCACCATGGGCATCATCGGCATGGGTAGAATAGGATACAAAATAGCCAAGAGAGCTCAAGGGTTTGAGATGAAAATCCTTTACCACAATAGGAATCGGAGGTGAATCTGTTGGACTTTGATTGAAATATTCACACTGTCACTAAACAGCTTCTTACCAGCTTGAGTAATACATAAACTATCAGTTTTCTGTATATATTTTCTACAAGAAGTAGTTAGACGTTGCTTTAAAATATTTTAAAAAGTCACTGATATACACTCCTAGTCAAAAGTTCAAGGTCAGTCGGTTTCTTTTTTTTTTTTTTTACTTTACTTTAATTTGATCGGTAGTGACAGTAAGATGTTACATTTTACATTTTGTAAAATTCTGTGTATTTTGTAAGATCTTTTGTAAAATCTTACAAAAACTTTTCCACAAAACAAAATTAAGCAGCACAACTGCTTTCAAAATTCATGAAAATTAGAAATGTGCATCAAATCAGCATATTAAAATTATTTCTGAAGAATCACTGAAGAGACACTGAAGACAGGAGTATTGGCTGCTGAAAATTCAGCTGTACCATCACAGGAATAAATTACATTTTAAAATATATTTTAATAGAAAACAAATTTTAAATTGTAGTAATATTTCTCAATTTTGCTGTATTTTTGGTCAAATAAATGCAGCCTTTGAGTGCTTAAGTGACTTTCAGAAACATTAAAAACTAGGGTTGCAAAAAGGTGAAACATTTCCAGTACATTTCAGAAACATTCAATTTTTTGGAATATTCCAGGGATTTTTGGAAAGTTTCCAGAAATTTTCCACCCCTTTGCAACCCTATTAAAAACATCTTACCAACCCCAAACTTTTGAAAGGTAGTGTATTAACATATATTGTCAATATTGCAATTATTCCTTTTAAAATAAAGTGTAAAATTACAATGGTGCCTTTCAGCTAGGTTACATATTTAGTCTGTGACTGGGATAATATTTAATTATACAAGGCCTTATGGGTTGTTGTCAGGACTTTTTAACATTAGATTGGCTAAATGTAATACTTTAATTTAATTTCACAGCATTTTATATGTTCAGGCCTGAGAGTGAAGAGAGAGCAGTTGGGGCCACATATTGTGCAAGCATGAAGGAGCTGTTACAGAGGTCAGACTTCGTCATGGTGGTGGTCAATCTGTCCCCTCAGACGCACAAACTGATTGGTGCCAAAGAGTTTGCCATGATGAAACCCAATAGCACCTTTATCAACATTAGCAGAGGTAATGTAATAGGCTGGAAAAAAGCAATCCAATTAAACAGAAGCAGCCCTGTTTGAGAACAACTTTCCTTGTCATAGGCTTGGTAGTGGACCAAGATGCTTTAGTGGATGCTCTCAAGAAGAAAATGATAAGAGCTGCTGCTTTAGATGTCACGTATCCCGAACCACTTCCCAGGTTTGTTTTGCTTGGCATGTTTTTGTTTAGCAAACTTGCCTAAATCACTATAAGGAGGATAGTAAAATAGCAAACCTAAATGTTTGTTTTTTTGTTACAGTTGTAGTATAAATGATATGCTTCTTGCTTATTTACAGGGATCATCCCCTGCTGGCCTTGCCAAATGTCATCGTCCTGCCTCATGTAGGAACCCACACCGTGGAGACCTCACAGATCATGGTGGAGAGGATGGTGACCAATGCCTTGGCCGCTGTAACTGGAGGCCAGCTTCCTGATGAAGTCAAGGCATAGAGCCAGAACACAGAGCCATCTGTTCCTCTTTTGTTTTTAACCAGCAAAACATAGAAAATACTAATAGATTTAGTCATAATTTTATTTTGTTTTGTGATTGTTTTGTGTCATCTTTTAAATGTTTTATGTATGGTAATTCAATAGCCTAAAGAATATTAAAGGATGTGTTAGATTGAACAGCACAGAATGAATTAAAAAAAAAAATTCTGTCCTACAAAATCTCTCACATTTCTGACCATTAAAAAAAGATCATGATGCTAAGAAAGAATTACTCCAAAATAAACGTGACAATACAGTTATGTATGGGTGTCTTTTCATACTTTATACTGCACACATGCTATTATGTGGATTTTAGGTAAATTATTTTTTGTTTGTTACTTTTATGTAGTTATGTATTTACATACATATACAGAGAGAAAGATAAGCAGGCAGGAGCACTAAACGAAGACTGCATGATATCCTAAGATAAAATAAGATAATATACATTCTTATTTTATCCTCTGTCTCTCCCTCTATTTATACAGTGTGTATGTGTATACACACACACACACATACATATATAGATAGAAAGATATAGATAGGCCTAGATATAAATATACATATATATATATATTTTGTTTATCCAGTCTTCACTAATTTTGTAGTCAGCTGGCTCACAAATAAATTATTGCATGTTTATCTAAGTGATCTGCCGATACTAAATAGCCTACAGAAGTCTAATAAGAGAAGTGTCGAAGTCTGGGAAGTGTCGTAGTTTCCGTGTTGTCCCGTCTTTTGACAAGCCATTTCTCCTGTTTTTCCGCGTTATCGGTGATGCGAACACGCAACGCTATTTTGTCATGCTCAGCCAAACAAAACTCGAGTGGTTGGCGGTTAGTGGCTCGTTGACCGCTCATCGGACAACATGAACCGGGCACTTAGAAAGTCTCAGTCTCTGCGTTGCTGTTCAATCCTCGAGGTGAAAAGTAAAGTAAGTTGACATGTACTTTTATTCTGACTACTGATCTGTAGCATGTATCTTTCATTTATTATATTACCATACAATATCTTTGTTTCTGGCGGTATGCATTTCCTTCATGAGACTTTATTAAATCTTTTTGGAATTACACATTCTTCATCCAGATTTGAAATTTATTCACAGAATTCTTGTAATGTGTCTTACATGTGTCTCAGTGGTTATCTTGGCGCTCTTATTTAAGTATTATTAGACTGAAAGGAAATACCTTTGTAAACAATAACTTAAACAATCAAAACCTACACAATATCCAGAAACGGCTCACTTCTAAAATATGTCCATTGTTTCAGCTTATTGAATGCAGCCCCAGCTCATTCACTGCTTCTTGTCCAGTAGAGCATAAAAGTGTGATTGAGATATTGTGTTTTCAAATATAGCCTACATTATTTTCATACAATTTCACTTCTCTTTACAGTATGGAGCAGAATTCAGGAGGTTTTCCCTGGACCGCTGTGAGCCTGGCAGGTTTAAAGACTTCCACAGGCTCATTGTGCGTTTACATCACTTATGGCAAATGGATGTCCTTATCGAATATGCGGATGTCCAAGGAGAGCTGCTGCCCATCAATAATGATGACAACTTTTGCAAAGCTGTGACCTCCACACAATCTTTACTGCGTATCTTCATTCAGCTTCAAGGTATACAGGAAGGGAAAAGAGGCTATCTATAAATACAGTATCTCTAATTTCCTTTTAAATACTCTCTGCTCCACACACGTTGATGTACTCTTTCTATTTAACTTAAATATTATAATGTATGTATGTACCAAAGGGCATTATTTTTCAAATACATAACATGGATATAAATTCTTATACTAACACAGCAAGACTTCTTTCTGAATGGAGATAAATTGTGGATATTTCATTAAATGGAATATATCATTTTAAGACCTTAAGGCCTTTAATCAAGGCATTTTTTTTTTGTTTTCCTTTCGAGCTTCTTAAAGCAGAAGGAATAGAAAAGGAAGGAATTTAGAAATCATGTACTTGAGTATAATTGCTTTCTATTCCCTTGTGGTGTGTTTGTTTGTCAGATAGAGTAGATTATCTTGTTGCTTTCCGTCCTAGTTCATGTGATCTCTACCAGAGTTCTTAGTAGTTCCACAGTAATGTGAAAATAAGTATAAATATAAACAGAAATAAAAATAAATAATTAAGAAATAAATGTAAAAGTACAGAAATAATTAGAGTTAGAAATATATACATTTAGTGAAGAATTTACTTCATCAGGACATTTATTCATTTGTTTGTTAAAATAGTTTAATTTATTTGTATTTATTTTTAAATTGGACTTCTTCCCTCATAAGTAAATAGTGTTTTATTGCAAATAAATAAAATTTAAGCTAAAATTGTAGCAGTTCAATTTTTTAATTCAGGTTGAAAGTCTCTTCTCTAGACAACATCATAGCAAAGTGCGAGGACACTAAAATACAAGTTATAAATATAATCATAATCATCTGATCTCATAATTTCAGAGCTGCCGAAAATGCTTCATTCAACTTTCTTCCCACACTGTTTTACAGAGGAAGCTTACCAGGATATCACAGGTGCTGAAGATACAACAAAACGAAAGAAACCTGTCAGCCAGAGAAAAACACCATTCCAGATCAGCATGCCACAGAACTTCCGCCCTGTTTCGTCTATCATTGACGTGGACATCATACCAGAATGCCACCGAAGGGTGCGTCTGTATCGACAGGGCTCGGACAGACCTCTGGGGTTTTACATTCGCGATGGTACCACTGTCAGGGTTACTCCATACGGTCTGGAAAAGGTTCCGGGCATCTTTATCTCCCGCATAGTTCCTGGAGGACTGGCGGCTTGCACGGGACTGCTGGCCATTAATGACCAGGTCCTGGAAGTGAATGGTATTGATGTTATGCGGAAGTCTTTGGATCAGGTAACCGACATGATGATCGCAAACAGCCACAACCTCATCATCACAGTGAAACCCGCAAACCAGCATAACAACATAAGGCGAAAAAGCTGCAGTTCCTCAAGCTCGGGACACTATTTTGATAGTACGCACTCCGTAAGCTTTCCAGGGCTACCTATGATAATGAAAGCTTATGGTTTAGGTAATGGCTCTGAGAGCGAAGAGGATGCAGATGTGGTTGTCGAGAGCCCCATCAAACACCTGTCCCGACATCCGGGTTCTTCATCCGCCTCTCATTCTTTTCAGCCTTATGTTAATATTTGCTACAGGCCCCAAGTTTCTGCCAGACGGCCCAACTCGCTCATTTCGGCTGCGTCCTATCACTCTCAGCCTTGTCTCGCTCATACAGCTCACACTGACCACAGCGTCCCTCTTCACAGGCATCGGACCTCCCAACAGCATTTCGGCTGTAATCCAGCCATCAGACCGGGAAGCTCCAGTACCCATGATATTCTAAACACGTGGCACGTAGATCTGAGTTACCATTTACTGTTGCCCCAGGGGGCAATGGAGGAAGATGGAATTGTTGTTATTTTGTAAAAGATAAACCAAAAATACACCACCCATTTTAAATTGTGCACTTTTGGGTGAACTATGCATTAAATAAAATGAATTGGAAAATACAGTAATTTTACATTTAATTAAATGCACCTCTACTCATATACATTGTGTATTACAAACATAACTGAAAACCCCAATAAATTTAGATTAATATATGTGTTAAACTAACATAATTGAATCTCTTTCAGTCAATTAGCACATGAATTGGTGACTAGTGTTGTTTTCTACCAGATGTATCATATGGTTTCTTACAAAAAAGGTAATTATATTAGAAATTTCCTATTACACACAACATATTTCTATAATTTTTTTATGTAGTCCAACACGGTTTGCTTAAGCAAACATCTATTTTGACCAATTAAAGTTGACTGCACAAAAATGAAATGAAGTCTGTTCAAGAATTGTGTTGTATTCGCTCATTTTAATAAAGGAAACTGAATAAGCAGCAAAACCATTTTTGGCGGTGGAAGTCTGAATGCATTTCAACATTGCATTACAGCATGATTTTACTTGCAATTTGTGTATAATTGCATTCTTATTCAAACATAAAATTAGTATAATGAAGTATTTTTTAATAGACATGCTTGTTGAAATGTATTGGATTTCTTTGCTCTTTGTTCTTACCACTGAGAAAACAACACAAAATGTACTTAAAAATTGAATTCCATTTGCACCAACAAAATAATAATTCAACAAATAAAACCATACATATTAAAAATAAAACAATAACTCATTATCCAATTTTAGTTCATAGCATGAAATAAACAAACATGCTTACAATAAATTAAACTAACTTCTTAACAGTGTTTTGTACGGAACATCTCAACATTGGATTTTTACAGTATATACTGTAGCATTATCATCACTATATCAGGGCACTGGTACTCACACAGACCGCAGGAAGAGCTCCCCCTGCTGGCCTCATCAACACCTCGTCCAGGAGCAGCCTGAGCTTTCCCAGGAGGACTTGATAGCTACAGGTTGATGGCTGCTTGCTGTTACAGACGGGCAGGGGCGTGTCTACGTGGTGGCACAGGCCCCCACTGAAATTTGGCTGGCCACCCCAGGTGCCCCCCCTACCAGATGTCTTGCGATAGGCTTGTTTTAGTAAATTTCTAACTGCATCTGGCAGTGGCGGATGCTGGCATGTGTAGGCAGCTGCCTAGGACCGCTTTCTTCTCTTCTTTATACTTAATTTTAGGCGGTTTCTATAGTGTGATCTTAATGACAATGTCGAGAGCGCATAATGTTAAAATATTAAAGCTAACAAGACTCTATTAAACTAAAGGGATAGTTCAACCATAAATAAAACCTCAATATTTACTCACCTTCATGTTATTCCAAACCTGACTGATTTTATTTCTTCTGTAGAAGATATTTTGAGGAAACAGTTTTGGTTACTATTGACTTCCATTAAATGGACAAAGAAAAACACAGAAATTTCTTAAAATATCTTCTGTTTATATTCCACAGAATAAAGAAATTGACACAAGTTTGAAATGACAAAAGGGTTTAATCATTATAGAATTGTCATCTTTGGGTGAACTATCCCTTTTAGTTCAAGTGATGCATTTTATTAAGTAACATGGACAAGAAAGGATGCTGTAAAACTTTTGAGTGTTGGTTTGAGTGTAATGAAGTTTGCAGTGTTCTGTGTTTTTAAATTTATTCTTAAACCGTAAGGGAATGTCACAGGCACTGTGACAATAGGGGGCCCATTTAGGTCCTTGTATTCACAGAGACCAATGGATAGACCTCCCATAAAATATCACTCTGTGTCCTTTCGTGACAGTCCTAATGCAGATGTGTTCTATAGGTGCATACATAGGCTTAAATGTTCTTCACTGCACTTGTGAATAGTCAATCGTTTTAAATTGAACCGACCTGCTGTGGCAACATCAGATCTGATGCAAGAGACCACCTAAACAGCAGCAGGTATCCTCTGCATATTATACAACAAGCAACACTCCTATTGCCTTCTCATCATCATGTCACACTTGAATCCATCAATTCATCTTTCCCATAAAAGCACCTCTGAAGGTGTTGTTGTGACACAGGTGTGTCTACATCACTCACAGGTGAAGATCCCAGCCATGGGTTTATGGTTAATTCCAATAACGAATGACCATCACTTTGATCAACTTTGCAAGATCAGCCCACCTTTCTCCCATTGGTGGATCTGCACTATGCAATATGTAAATCAGAAAACGTCACTTCCCTTCTTCCTGTACGCCATGTTTTTCAGCAGGAGTGGGGTGATGTTTTAGTGAGATATAATCAAAAGTGGGCAATCCTGCGCTCTGTTCAGATTTCAACAGACGATCACCAGTGCAACAAGGAACGCGGATTGAGTGCAACCCGGATGCTTCACGCGATGAAGTAGCCGATTCCATACTGCGCGCCTTCCCGTGACGCCGGAAGAAAACGGACGTACGCACGCTAGACATCCATCCACTCATTCGCAGCTCTGTGCCAGAGGACTGGAGGTAGACACAGGTTTAGTCATTAATACAGTTCGGATTATAAATGACATATGTAGTTTCTTTCTTTCTTGCGTTAATACTACTTAAAATCCATGGCTGGTTAAAAAAAATTATAATGATGTGTCCGACGATGGTTTGAAATACAGACCTTGCTAAGTACATAGTTACAACTAGCTAACTTATATTTATTATAACTATGTTATAGGCCTCAATAATATGTTAATTTAGAGCTCTCTTAAATGTCTGTTAGATTCTCGCCAAATACAGACTGAGTTTGGTGTTTGAAAGCGCAACGCATTGATTTGACAGGCTGTTCAACGTTTCGTATTATTTTTGTTTTCGTTTAAAGGATCAGCAAAATGTATCAAATTCCAGTGAAGAACCTGACAAAACTCAGACGTCCAAGGAAACGCGTCAAAGGTATTTTGTGTGACATCGGGATGCAGCAGTGTCAAGATTTATTGGAGGTAGGTTATTATGTTCTGTTTATACCAGCATCTGTTTAAAGGGGTCATATGATGCTGCTAAAAATAACATTATTTTGTGTAATGAAATGTGTTTATGCGGTTTAAGGTTCAAAAAACACATTATTTTCCACATACTGTACATTGTTTCTTCTCTATGCCCCGCCTTTCTGAAACGCGTCGATTTTTACAAAGCTCATCG